AGACGCTTCCTCTTTTGCTCTCTTATCTTTTTTCCCAAGGCTCTTTGTCCTGTCTGCCCACAGAGCGCTTCTCTGCATTTCTCCTGAAAAACCCTATTTTTTAGAAATGGATCTAATTAATTGGTCATTCAACGCGATTGATACGATTTTCTCAACAATGTGGACGGAGCAGGGGGCTCCCACTTGCCTGCAAGGGACACACCCGGCGGGGTATACGCTCGATTCCTGGAAGGAGTGGAGAATCGTATGCCTCTCCCAGCTGTCCATTGAGGATGTCGAAGATATGTGGATGTTTGGCCTGATGATCACTCTTCTGATTGGAGTGGGAGGATATCTGGTTTTCTGGAAATTTGGGAAGACGGGAGCGATTGGAGGGCGACCCGCACCCACGGAAAGCACCGCCCAGGTGGAGCCCTTACAGACTGGGACGTTACTCGAGGTGAATCGTAAGCTGGACAACGTTCTAGCTGCGTTACTGGTAGTGCGCAAAATGGATGTCATCTCGGAGAGGGTCACCGGACGGTGTGGAGATTAAAACCTAAAACCTAAATTGGCTTCACTGGAGGACTTGAATGATCAGTTACAGACTTCAAGGCAGAGAGGAAAATTATCTCCCCCGCCTTCAGATCGGTGGACTTCAGCCTGGCGAGGTCATCAACCTGCAGGTGTCAATTTGCGCTGCGCTCCTCCCAAGATCTCCCTCCCACCTGTGGCTACAGTGGCTGAGTGCCACACAGGGCTGCTCTCGCTGGGGAAACAGGATCCCAGCCCCCCCCCCCCACACACACACACCACCTTCCTATCGGAGTCTCCTGTTGTGAACTGTTGATGTTCGTGCTTATATGTTTGAGCCGTTTTTTTGCATAGTAAAGCTACGCCCTGTCGGGAGTAACTCTGGTATGCCTTTTTTCCCCTCACCCCAATTTATCCTCATGTGATCCCCTTTTCATCTAATTGAAATGAGCACCGTTCATGGCTGCTCTCGTTGTCTGCCTGTACCTGTTTTGTCTACGTGTGTGTGTAACCTTGGTCAGGCTGGTCTGCGGAGTCAAGTTCCTATGCTCTGGGTCGATGGAGCGCTGGCAATAAAGCTTTTTCTTATTCTGATTCTGATTCCATTAGCTCGGTTAGCAATTAGTTGACCGAATTTAACTGTTAAAATCCCAGTTAACTGGTTCAAAAAATTGAAAACATGCATCATGAGAGCGTACTTACCTTTATCTTTCTCCTCTTTTTTTCTGTTTTTTTTTCCTGAATCGGGCACCTGTTGGTTTTAGCCTTTTTATGTTCATCTCTTCTGTTTGGCTCTTGACTCAATAAGTTTCCTTTAGTCAGGACTAAACAATTTGACCTTGATGGGGGGGTGACCACTCAGCCCCTATGGCTCATTTCATTTGGGAATTCCCCTGCCACACCCCTCCCCTTCCTCTTCTTCATACACGCACGGGGCACCTGAACCCTCTCAGTCAGCAGGAGTGCCTGCAGCTGCAGGGGCGCTAACTTGCTGTTTCCAATCGAGACGCTGTCATATGACAGATAATAGAAAACCTCGGTGCGGCTTGTGCGCCCCTTTTGTGTCATGAAAAAATGCCGCCCCGGTCAACTGCCCTGTCTGCCCGTGCCTAAAACCGCTACTGCTGGCCACCCTATGGAGGGAACTCATTTCAGCCGCTTGTATTCGCGATCTCGTTCTTTCGGTCATTACCCAAAGCTCATGACCATAGATGAGGATTGGGATGTAGATCGACCGGTAAATCGAGAGCCTGGCTTTCTTGCTCAGCTCCCCCTTCACCACGACAGATCGGCTCAGGGTCCGCATCACTGCAGACGCCGAACCAATCCGCCTGTCGATCTCCCGATCCCTCCTACCCTCACTCGTGAACAAGATCCCGAGATACTTAAACTCCTCCACTTGAGGTAGGACCTCTCTCCCGACCCAGAGTTGGCAAGCCCGTTCGAGAACCATGGTCTCAGATTTGGAGGTGCTGATCCCCATCCCAGCCGCTTCACACTCAGCCACGAACCTACCCAGCAAGAGCTGAAGGTCAGAGCTGGATGAAGCCAGGAGGACCACATCATCCGCAAAAAGCAGAGACGAGATTCTCCTGCCACCAAACTCGACACACTCCACACCACGGCTGCGTCTAGAAATTCTGTCCATAAAGATTATGAACAGAACCAGTGACAAAGGGCAGCCCTGGCGGAGTCCAACCCTCACTGGGAACAGGTCCGAATTACTACTGGCTATGCGGACCAAACTCACGCTCCTCTGGTAAAGGGACTGAATGGCCCTTAACAAAAGGCCACCCACCCCATACTCCTGGAGCATCCCCCATAGGGTGCCTCTGGGGACACGATCATAAGCCTTCTCCAAATCCAGAAAACACATGTGGATTGGTTGGGCAAGCTCCCATGCCCCCTCCGTCACCCTTGCAAGGGTATAGAGCTGGTCCACAGTTCCACGACAAGGACAAAAACCACATTGCTCCTCCTTAATCTGAGATTCAACTATCAATCGGACTTGGAGTAGACCTTTCCAGGGAGGCTGAGGAGTGTGATCCTCTATAGATGGAACACACCCTCTTGTCACCCTTCTTAAATATGGGGACCACACCCCGGTCTGCCACTCCACAGGAACTGCCCCCGATGACCACGCAATGTTGCAGAGACGTGTCAACCACGACAGCCCTACCACATCCATAGCCTTGAGATACCCTGGACAAATCTCATCCACCCCTGGGGCTCCGCTGCTGTGTAGTTGTTTGACTACTTCAGCAACTTCTGCCCCAGAGATTGGACAGTCCATCCCCAGGTCTCCCGGCTCTGGCTCCTCCTCGGAATGCGCATTGGTGGGATTGAGGAACTCCTCAAAGTATTCCTTCCACCGCCCGACTATAGCCCCAGTTGACGTCAGCAGCTCCCCATTCCCACTGTTAACAGTGTGACTGTGTTGCTGCCTTCCTCTCCTGAGGCGCCAGACAGTTTTCCAGAACCTCTTTGGCGCCAATCGAGTCTTTCTCCATGGCCTCACCAAACTCTTCCCACGCCCGAGATTTTGCCTCGGCAACTGCCACTGCTGCGCCCTGCCTGGCTATCTGGTACCCGTCTGCTGCCTCGGGAGACCCACACACCAGCCACGCCCTGTAGGCCTCCTTCTTCAGCCTGATGGCTGCCCGAGCCTCTGGTGTCCACCAGCGGGTACGGAGGTTGCCACCACGACTGGCACCGGCCACCTTGCGACCACAGCTAGCAACAGCCGCCTCAACAATCGCAGAGTGGAACAAGGCCCACTCGGAGTCGATGTCCCCCACTGCTTGACAGATTCTTCTGCCAAGCATTCCCAGCAGACCCTCACTATGCGTTTTGGTCTGCCTGGTCTATGCGACATCTTCCCCTGCCATCTCATCCAACTCACCTCCAGGTGGTGATCAGTTGGCATTTCCGCTTCTGTTTTCACTCAGGTGTCCAAAACATACGGTTGCAGGTCAGATGATACTACTACAAAGTCTATTGACCTGCAACCTAGGCTGCCCTGGTACCAAGTGTACTGATGGGCATCCTTATGTTCGAACATGGTGTTCGTTATGGCCAAACTGTGGCTTGCACAGAAGTCCAATAACGAAACAAAACTTTCGGATCAGGCTGGCCGTTCCTCCCAATCACACCCTTCCAGGTCATGCTGTCATTGCCCACGTGAGCATTGAAGTCCCCCAGCAGGACAATGCAGTCCCCTGATGGAGCACTATCTAGCACTTGTCCCAGGGACTCCAAAAAGGGAGGGTAATCTGAACTGATATTTGGCGCATAAGCACAAACAACAGTCAGGACCCGTTCCCCGACCCGAAGGCACAGGGGAACGGGTCTCCCTCTCATCCCCCGGGGTAAACCCCAACACACAGCCAGAGAGTCTTGGGGCTAACGAAAAGCCAACCCCAGCCCTCCGCTTCTCACCCGAAGCAACTCCACCAAAGGAGGGTGTCCAACCCCTCTCAAAGACTTGGGTTCCAGAGCCAATGTTATGTGTCGAGGTGAGTCCGACTATATCTAGCCGGTACCGCTCAACCTCTGCCACAAGCTCCTGCTCCTTCCCCGCCAGCGAGGTGACGTTCCATGTCCCAATAACCAGTTTCCTTGTCGGGGGATCGGACCGCCAAGGCTCCCACCTCGGTCTGCCACCCGATCCACACTGCATGGGACCCTTCATGTTCCTCCTGCGGGTGGTGGGTCCGTAGTTGGATGAGCCTATGTATCCGGTTTGGGCTGGGCCCGGCCGGGCCCCATGGGCGAAAGCCCGGCCACCAGGCGCTCGCTCATGGGCCCCAACCCCAGGCCTGGCTCTAGGGTGGGACCCCGGTAACCCTCCCGGCCGGGTACTCCGTCTCTTTGTTTTTACGTCCATGTTTATGTTTATTTATTTCACAGACACTTTTATCCAAAGCGACTTACAATTTTTTTATAACCTATAGGGCATGTTGTGATCTGTGGGGGAAACCGGAGTACCCGGAGGAAACCCACGCATGCATGGGGAGAACATGCAACTCCACGCAGAAAGGCCGCAGCCGAGTTTCGAACCTGAAACCTTTGTGCTGGAGGCAAAAGTGCTAACAACTGTGCCACCATGCAGCCCATGCCCACGTCTATGAAAGATCCAGACCGTTCTTTGTCTCACCCTTCACCTAAGATCCATTTGTCATGGAAGACCCTACCAGGGGCACAAAATGCCCCAGACAACATAGCTCCTAGGATCAATAGGGCACTCAAACTCCTCCACCACGATAAGGTGACGGTTCAAGGAGCAGAGAATATAAAATTAGTAGTTTAAATGTATTTATTTATTTATTTTCTTGTTTATTTTGATGTGTTGGAATGTCACAATGTCCCACAACACATCTTGAGTTGAGTTTAGCTTCTCCTGTTAGCAGGACTCTCGTTTCATATTTTGTCTGATTGTGACTCTGACACCATTATTCCTTGTCCTGAGACATGTTGTGGGTCTGTAGGTGCAGCAGGTGAAGCCCATTGTGGTTGGAGACATTGTGGCTGCTCCATACCGAGACCATGACACATGGAACAGGGCCAGGGTCCTGGGAATCCTAGGCTCCAACCTTGTGGACCTGTACTATGTGGACTTTGGGGACAATGGGGAGCTGCCTCCTGCTAGCCTGAGACATTTGAGGTAAGGCATGTCACAGTGGAGCATTTCTGTTAAGAGCCATGACACTACATTTGGAGACAATGACTCAGCAGATTTTTACTGGACTGGTCAGCAGCCAACAGCTGTTTGGACACAAGTTGTTTTTGTTTAGGTAATGTCTTCTGCTAGTCCTGAAAATGTTGCTGCTGAGGGAGAAAAACCCATGGTCCCAGAAGTAAACTCAGAACATCTGGTGTAGTGGTACCACTGGTTCTGCTTTTCAGTACCACTCCACAGCCTTGGTTTCCTGGTGGTGACCCACCATATTTATGTACACTGCCTGGTTACATTCATCCCCACCAAAGGAAGATATTGATGGCTTTAAAGGTGAGAAGAAGGATTTTGAATTCATTGCATTGCTTAACAGGAAGGTTGTGGAGCTGCTGGAGGCAGGTGGAAGTAGGCAGCCCGAGTGATGCTACTGATGTGGCAGGGAAATGAAAGAGAGTTGGCTAGGATGACACCCAGATTCTTCGCCTGATGGGAAGGAGAAAAAGAGGAGGCACCAACAGTGCCTTAAGTGAAGAACTGGGAGCTTTGGTCAAGTTGGATTTGGTGCCAACTGAAAGGATTTCCATTCAGTCACTGCTGAGTTTAAGAACATTTGTGGTGAACCAATATTTAATTTCAGATATACAGGAAGAGAGGTAGGGGCATAAATGGAGATTGAGGTCTTAGGGACAAGTAGAGCTGGGTGTCGTCAGCAACAGTGAAAATGAATGTTGACCAAGTAGAAGAAAGTAGATATGAAAAGGGGCCCTAGAACCAAACCTTGAGGCACACCTTTGACTACTGGGTAAGGGTCTGATCTGAAGGATCTGAGTTAAATGATAAATGACCCGCACTTGTATAGCGCCTCTCAGAGTAAGGACTCTAAAGCGCTTTACACTACAGTGTATCATTCATCCATTCACAGACACATTCACACACTGATGGGGATGAGCTACGGTGTAGCCACAGCTGCCCTGGGGCGCACTGACAGAGGCGAGGCTGCCGAACACTGGCGCCACCGGTCCCTCCGACCACCACCAGCAGGCAAGGTGGTGACGTTAAGTGTCTTTCCCAAGGACACAACAGCAGAATTCGCTGTCCGGAGCTGGGATCGAACCTGCAACCTTCCACTTACTGGACAACCCGCTCAACCTGTTGAGCTACTGCTGCCCCGAGTTGTATGAATTGTGAACAGCCTGAGAGACAGGGGTGGAACCAGCCAAGTGTGAGACAGGAAATGCCAATAGATGAAAGATTGTTAAGAAGAACTGAATGAAAAACAATATAGAAAGCTGCGCTCAGATCAAGGAGGATGAGGATGGAAAGTACACCTGAATCAGCAGCAGTCAGGAGGTCATTCGTGATTTTTAAGACAGCAGTTTCTGTACTGTGACTGGGGCGAAAACCAGACTGAAAGCGTTCATAAAGAGTATGTTTTAAGTGAGAGTGGAGCTAAGAGGAAACAACTCTCTCCAGAATTTTGTCTAGTGATGATAGATGACAGTGGTGTCTGACAACTGCACAAAGCCTTTTCCAGCACATCCCAAAGATTCTGAATGGGGTTAAAGTCTGGACTCTGTGATGGACAATCCATGTGTGAAAATTATATCTCATGCTCCTTGAACCACTCTCTCTATTTGAGTCCAATGAATCCTGGCATTGTCATCTTGGAATATGGGTGTGCCCTCTGGGAGGATGGAATAACCTGGTCATTCAAGATATTCAGGTAGTCAGCTGACCTCATTCTTGGAGCACTTCCTGTAGCTGAACCTAGACCTGACCACCTGCAGCAAGCCCAGATCATAGCACTGCCGTATAGTAGGCACTAGGCATGATGGGTGCATCACATCATCTGCCTCTCCTTACCCTGACGCACCATCACTCTGGAACAGGGTCCATCTGGACTCATCAGACCAATTTTAATAAAGCGTTGGACAGTTCTTAACCCACTTTTAGTCGTTTCTTACTGAGCCCGTCTGGTGACATTGAGGAAAACAAATTAACTTGTGGCCACGAGATATTAATGCATGAGGGGTGTGTTCCAGAGATCGGCTTTCCTGAAAGGATCTCATCTTAAAAGCCCCCAAATCGCAGGTCACCATGACAACCGAGATGGAAATCAGGCACTGGCTCGTGACGTATAAGTACGAAAAAGTGTTGTATTGCTTTTTAGCTGCACCACGCACCGATCAACAAATATAGATGAATTAAAAACAATTGAAAGTGGCCAGATGGAGCCTAAGATAATATTCTATGTGCACAGGGAGAGATTGTTGACTTTTCCAGATCTTACGGGAACATTTAATTTAACCCAAAAGGGTTTTAGACAGGAACTATTTTTCATATCAAACAAATATCAGTCCGCCTGTCGGCTAACCCCCGCTGGAATGAGCAAATGTTCTGTCAGAACTCCGACAGGTGCACCTCTGACCATTATGCGCAGTATTTTGTCCACAAAGTAATACTATACCACACCAACTTTATTTATGAAGCACATTTAAAAACAGCATGGCAGCTGACCAAAGTGCTGTACAGATAAAAAGTAAAACACAACATAAAAACACAATCAATAATAAAAGTACACAACAAAGCAGTAAAATCAGAGTCAATAAGAGAATCAATAATAAAAATAACTCATAAAAGTCATGGGTTTCAAAATGCCTGGTCGTAAAAGTGGACCTTAAGCAGTGATTTGAAATGGGGGAGGGATGGTGCCAGCCTCACTGGGAACAAGAGCATTCCAGAGGGACAAAAGCACGCTGCCCCCGCGTTTTGTGTTTCATTGTGGGAACGTGAAGCAGCAATCAGCAGATCTCAGCGCCCGGTTTGGCACATAACGAGCCACAATGTCAGACAGGTAATCCGGTGCCAGGCTATTCAGGGCCTTAAAAACAACGGTCAGAATATTTAGCTTCACTCTGAAGTTTACGGGTAGCCAATGGAGCACCGCCAGTACAGGTGTAAGATGGTCACGTCTACAGGTGTTTGTCAGAATGATGGTCCTACAGTGAAAGTAGCTTGTATGAAGGCAGTGAATCATGGAGCTGTCCTGTCCAGCATGTTGAACACCCAGTTTGCACACATTACAGGTGTCTGTAGCTCTGCCTTTACTGTCCGGTTTAAACACCACCAAGCTGCAGATGTTTCAGCTCTCCTGAGGAGACACATTAGCTCTGTGTTAGCTGGCTTGCTAACAGCGGCACTTGGTGTCTGAGTCCTTGCCTGCCATAAATTGTGACGTTACTGTGTTGTTTTCGTACAACAAAGCAGCAACAACCTGGAGCTCAATGCTCAGAAGACAGTGGAGATGATTGTGGACTTCAGGAAAGTCACCGCCCCATCTCTCCCCCTCGTCCTGACGGACACCCCCGTCACCACTGTGGACTCCTTCCGCTTCCTCGGAACCACCATCACACATGACCTTAGGTGGGAGCCATCCATCAGCTCCCTGCTCAAAAGGCCCAGCAGAGGATGTACTTTCTGCGGCAGTTGAAAAAGGCCAAGCTGCCGGCCCAGATGATGGTGCAGTTTTACACGGCCATCATTGAGTCCATCCTCACCTCCTCCGTCGCTGTGTGGTACGCTGGAGCCACGGTGAGGGACAAACATAGACTGCAGCGCATTGTGCGCTCTGCTGAGAAGGTGATTGGCTGCAGCCTTCCATCTCTCCAGGACCTGTACGTCTCCAGAACTCGGGGGCGTGCAGGTCGGATAGCAGCTGACCCTTCGCACCCGGGACACACACTTTTTGAGCCGCTTCCCTCAGGCAGGAGGTTACGGTCCATCCAGACCAGAACCTCCCGCCATAAGAACAGCTTCTTTCCATCTGCCGTTAGACTTGTGAACAGCTTATAAACACACAACCATGCTCGTCTTCGGTACTCGACACAACGTCACGTTATCGGCCATGTTACCATTACCTGCCATTTTTATAGCTGAAAGTTTTATTCTAGTTTTTTTAGGCCCGAGCAGCGAAAGCGCTGCGAAGGCCTCTTGTTTTTGCTCCGTTTATTATTATTTTTTAGGCCCGAGCAGCGAAAGCGCTGCGAAGGCCTCTTGTTTTTGCTCCGTTTATTATTATTTTTAGGCCCGAGCAGCGAAAGCGCTGCGAAGGCCTCTTGTTTTTGCTCTGTTTATTAGGCCCGAGCAGCAAAGCGCTGCGAAGGCCTCTTGTTTTTGCTCTGTTTATTATTAGGCCCGAGCAGCAAAGCGCTGCGAAGGCCTCTTGTTTTTGCTCTGTTTATTATTAGGCCCGAGCAGCGAAAGCGCTGCGAAGGCCTCTTGTTTTTGCTCTGTTTATTTTTATTTATTATTCTTAGCCCGCTTTGAATGGCTTTTTGGGGACCTTATCATACCCCAAAACTCACAATATTTTGCAAAGATGTCAGGCCTGGTGAAAAATTTGATATTTTAATGGTCCCAAAAAAATTGCAAAGAAAATGGCTGAACAGCGCCCCCTAGAAAGTGAAAAAAACCCTTCTCCATAAAGCTTAGTTTATCGTACAATTATGAAATTTGGTACACTTGTAGTACTCACCAGTCCGCACAGAAAAGTCTCTTGCAAGCATGGTCAATATCAAACAGGAAGTCGGCCATTTTGGGTTGAAATGGCGATTTTTAGCCGTTTTTGCCGTTTTTAGGGTCCGTTTCTGATTGGATTGCTCGATAAATTTTCGCACCATCATCTCAAAAATTGTGTCAAATTGCTCAGAAGGGATGGCCGAACAAAATGAGATGAGGATTCTGAGTTTTCGTATATGTTGAAGGGGCGGGGCCAGGCCTCAAAATTTGACTACTCGCCAAAAAAATTTAAATTGCTATAACTTCATAACTGAATAAAATAGAGTTACAAAACTTTCTGTGGTCATTCGTCATCCACCCACAAAGTAAATTGAATGGTCGGATGATGACATCACTCAAGCCCCGCCCCCTCAGGACCAAAAAGATCAAGTTTTACTGTGAAAGGTCCCAAATTGCCCCATTTCACTTAA